TTCGTACCGGTGCAGCTCGTACCGGGGAATATATATATATATATATGTATGTGTATATATATACACACTAAAATAAACTACTACTTATTACTTGTACTACTAGTCCTACTTGACGGTTTTTCACTTATCGCGGGGGTTACTGAGAACGGAAACCCCCGCGATAAACGAGGGACTACTGACAAAAAAATAAATATAACATCGCTAATTGGTAGATTTTCACCTATCGCAGGGGTCTCTGGAATGTATCCCCTGTGATAGGTAAGGGATCACCGTAGTACTAACCTGGGAAAGAAAATGCTTTCCACCACGTAGAAATCCTGCATCAACACATCTCTCTCTGGCTTGGAGCTCAGGTTGCCCACTGTGTAGCCGATTCCCAGCTGGATGGCACCTTTCAAGGCTGATGATGTTGTCTGCATGGAAAAAAGAGAAGGAGAGTGGGGAGAAACTTGAAGTGATTGAACGGGCAACTTTAAAAAGTCAAATTTAAAAACAGACATGATGTCACATCAGCCCATGAATCTTTCACAATACCTTCTTATAAGTAGTTTCTCCTGATGCGTCCACTCCTCTGTGGCCAATCTTCTTACCCTGACCCACCTGACCCGAGGACGAAGGCATCTGAGAAGATGGAGAGATAAATTATTGGTAAGTGTGCCAGGGATGTCTACATCTGCACAGTAAGTTTGATCATTTAGAGTAAATGGATATGATGATTGTAACTGAGGTTGTTTGAAGTACTTACAGATGCATCTAAAAAAATTAGAACAAAGTGAAAAAGTTCAGTTTCTTTGTAAATCATTTCAGAAAGTGAAACTCATATACTGTTTTACATAGAATCATTACACACACAGTGAAATATTTCAAGGCTTTATTTCTTGAAATTTTGATGATTATAGCTTACAAATAATGAAAAAACAAAACTCAGTGTCTCAGAAAATGAGAATATTGTGAAGAGGTTCAATTATGTAAACTCCTGGTGTCACACCCTGATCAGCTGATTAACTCCTAGACATGAGCTACAAATGTCTCATTCCTCAAGTCCAGACACTCCTGAACCAGAGATGACGTCAGAAGCGTCTTACCTGCTGAGGAGAAGAAGAACTGGGCTGTTGCTCAGTGGTCCAATGTCCTTTCAGATGAAAGTAAATTTCCATGTCATTTAGAAATCAAGGTCTCAGAGTCTGGATGAAGAGTGACGAGGTCCAGAATCCACGTTGCTTGAAGTCCAGAGTGAAGTTTCCACAGTCATTGATGGTTTGGGGCCATGTCCTCTGCTGGTGTTGTTCCACTGGGTTTTCTGAAGTCCAGTCAACACAGCATCTACCAGGACATTTAGAACTCTTCATGCTTCCTTCTGCTGATGAGCTTCATGCTGATTTCCTTTTGCAGTAGGACTCGACACCTGCCCACACTACCGAAAGTACCAAAAGCTGGATGTGGAATATTCTCATTTTCTGACACACTGCATTTAGATTTTTCATGATTTGTAAGCCATAATCATCAAAATTACAAGAAATAAAAGCTTGAAATAATTCACTTTCTGTGTAAGGAACCTATGTAATATATGAGATTCACTTTTTGAAATGATGGACAAGAAAAATTGAACATTTTCATGATTTTCTAATTTTTTGACATGCACCTGTAGTAACTTGCCTGCAATAGAGAGTCAGAGTCAGAGATTCTTTATTGTCGTTTGCATCACATGTGGTGGAACGAAATTATGTACACAGGGTCCCAGTTACATCCAAGAATAAAATGTAAAAGAAAAACAATAATAACATCCAAGATATGAAGTGTGTTTGTTTCTTCTGAAGTCTTCTGAAGTCCACAATCATCTCCTTTGTCTTCTTCACATTGATGTGAAGGTTATTCTCTTTGCACCAGCTCTCCAGGTGTTCCACCTCTTGCCTGTAGCTGGACTCATCATTGTTTATGATGCATTCCACCACCACTGTATCATCTGCAAACTTTACAATGTGACAGCCTGGATGGGTAGCTGCACAATCATACGTGAGCAGAGTAAACAGGAGAGGGCTCAACACACATCCCTGACTAGAGCCAGTGCTGAGGGTTATGGTGGAGGAGGAGAAGTTGTGGATCCTCACTGACTGTGGTCTGTTTGTTAAGAAGTCTAGTACCCAGTTACAAATGGAGGGGCTTAGTCCAAGTGTGAATAGTTTGTCCATCAGGGTTTGGGGGGATCATGGTGTTGAAGGCAGATGTGAAGTCCACAAAGAGCATACGGACATAAGTCTTTCTGCTCCAGATGTTTGAGCGCAGTGTGGACCACAGAGGAGATTGCATCCTCTGTTGATCGGTTCTCACGGTATGCATACTGATGAGGGTCCTCGTTGATGTTGATGGTTGTTTTGATGTTGGTCATGACCAGTTTTTTGAAGCATTTAGCGACTATCGGGGTGAGGGCCACTGGCCGATAGTCATTCAGACCAGTCACTGTAGAGCTTTATGGGACTGGGATGATGGTGGCAGTCTTCAGGAAGATGGGAACTGTCTCCAGGGTAATTGAGGTGTTAAAGATGTCTGCCAGAACCTCACAGAACTGATCAATAGCTCTAATAGACAACAGTCTCTACAATTACTGTAAAAGGAACCACCAGAATAATATATATTTTTTTTCAATTAAAACAAGTCTAACCTTAAAATGTCACAGTGCTTTGAGTAAATGCTTTTTTTTTTTATTTACTTTGGCACATTTTCATTAATAGCAGACCCAAACTGTGTGACAGTGTAATGCAAAAGTGGCACAATATTATGTTTGGCTGGACTTTTTACAAATTGACAGTTATTTTATTAATCATATATAGCAAAAATGTATTCTTCTGGTGGCTCTCAGCATCATTAATTTGGCTTGCCCAATTATAAATCCTGCACAGTCTCATATTAAGAGCAAACAGCTGGTTAGATACTGACTGCTCAAAAGAACTTTAAACAACCGTCTTAAAGAATGTTTAGGGATATTGTACCTACAAATTTGTTGCCTATTATCTACGTTTTTCACTGGACAAGAACTCAAAATTTAGATCAGTGATGTTAAGAAAACTTAAAGAAACTTTTACCCCTTTACCACCCAGACTGTTCACATGTAGGGGTACAAACTTAATAATATGTCTGGTAGGGTTTGGAGAACATATGGTTGTACCAGAATATGCAAAAAACGCAACTGCATTGTTTTGACTACTGTCCTTAAAAGAACTGCTGCATATTTAATCACAGTTGTGTGCAAATATTTTTGTGTCGTGCTCTTGACTGTATGAAGAATGTCCTTCCTGCAAGCTCCATTTTTTGCTGCCTTTCCTGTGGCACAACAGTTCTCACCCTAAAGTCGCTGTCAAATAAGCAATATTTCAGTGTGTTTAATTTGAATATTTTTTTTGCTTCCAACAGAATATATACATCATTAAATGATCATTTGTGGAAAGTTCAGCAATTAGTAGTTTGGAAAATCTCAGCAAAGCTCATTTTGCATGTGACCTACGTCAGCATTTGTGTTTTAACTTAATTTAAAAATACGCTACTTCTGTCGACTCGTCTTTCCAGCTTTAAGTCGCTGCTTTTCTTTTTAAAGAAGAGAGAAGACGTTGAATGTGAGGAAAAGATTAAACACCACAGTTTGGACGGCTCTTTAAAATGTCAACTAGCTGTCGAAGTGCAAAGTGTATAATTGCTATTAGTAACCAAAATCTAAAAGCCTTTTTTTTTTTACTTTTGACCTGGCTGATTCCAATTTTCTCCCTCTGACTTTGTTCTTAGTCTGGGATTTTTTTTACTGACTCAATCTGTTGCATGCCAAGACTGTCCAAAGTGTCCTCGCCAACGTTCAAATGTAAACAAACAACTCATAATTGTTGGCAACAAAACATGACACTGCTGATTTTGCTCATTTATTACAAATTATGCAATGGACGTTTGCCAGTGAATGAGTCATATTTAACCAGAACTGAACCAGAACCAGACTTCCAGACCCATCTGTTAATCCTGAGAGCAGGTAGCCGGCCCACTAGGACTTCGAAGCGGGGACACGCCCCGTAGGTCCGGGGCTCCATCTGGAGCCCATCGCGACTTCTTTCATCCAGACTTGGACTCAATCAACCACCTCCGATCCGTGCTGGCCAACCAAAGGCCCACCCCCAAAATGCACTTCCGTGCTCAGGGCTGCACTAAACTGGACCAGAACCGGACCCCTAGACTCAGCGGTGAACTCGAGAAATTCTAGCCGGCCCACGAGGACTTCCAAGCCGGGGCGCACTGTCGTAGGTCAGGCGCTCCAGCCGGAGTCCACCGAGACTTTTTTCATCTCTCGGGTCGTACCAGAACCAAGCCGCTGCTCTTCTGCAGAGCCTGGTAAGTAAAATTTAGTAGCTACATATACAGTACTGTATGTTAAAATAACATAGGTTTAAGAGTTTAGAACATTGCAAGAGCGTGGGAATAGTTTATAAAGACTTAAAAATATACATATATAAATACTAAAATTAATATAACTTCGCTACTTTGTGGATTTTCACTTACTGCGCGGGGTTTGGAATCTAACACCTGCAATAAATGAGGGACTTCTGTATACAAAAAAGTCAAATGAAAAACCCAGAAAAATTTAGTATTTTACAGCTATTATAGCTTTATTATCTTAAGGTATTTTAAAATATATATTTGTTGAGCTTTTGGTTTGCGTTGACATTAAAATAGAAAATAATTCTCAGAGGACTAATGAAATAAGCAAACGTTAATATAACAGAATCTGTAGTGCCAGATGAATGAGTTTTATCATATTAAGAGTGAATTCATGTGAGTTATGTGGTCCAGCAAAGACACTCAACTTTAGTACTTGTCAGTACTTTGAACTGTCTGACGTACAGCAAATGAACTGATCCAAACACCAGAATTTTCAAGTTTTACTTTGGCTAAAGTAACAAAAAAAGGCAATGTGAAATATGTTAAATAAAAAACAGCTATAAAAAAAAAGGCCTAAGGAGGAGTGCATGACTACAGGGACAGATTTTAGCTTACCTCTGAGAGGAAGCCTTTCTTTGCAGCTGCGTCTGAAACGAACAGGAGAGAGGTGGAGATGAGTGTTATTTGTGCTGGAACAAGATGCTCCACGACAGCCTCATCAGTACTCACAAAGACAAATCCCAAGGGGTGGTCAAAGCAGCCTGACATTACATAATAACTGTGTCGAACACAAGCAGGGGCCTGTCAGGGCCACCACAGGAGACAGATATCAGCAGCAAGGGCACCAAGTCTCCTCTCTAAGCTCCACGATGTGCGACTTCATGCTCTTGTCTTTAAGCACGCTGACAGCTCACCGTAGATCATACTGATGTAGGTCCATCTAAAGACTGGATGGTCCAGAATAAATATTATTGAAGCCTCATGCAGATCGCCACAGAATGAACTCTTAATATTTTGATGCCCACTGACATTTTTGTCTTGTAGCTTTTTCAAACGTGACACAAATAAATCAGATTAAATACATTTTACGCTGAAGAAAAAGAAAAGATAACCTCAAAAATGGGAAATAAACAATTTCTGGCAATGAGTGAATGCCAAATACAATCAAAGTCTCATTTTAAGATAATATGAGAAAAAAATAAATTGTCTACAAAAGAATACAAATATTTTGACTGGGAAACTCTGTTTGCTCAGGGTAAACAAGCCACTTCATTTTCTATATTTAAATAGTCTAATGTTTGCTGCAGTCACGCAGCCTTACATCGGTTGTTTCTAGTTTAATAACAGGTAGCGAGGCAATAAGTGTTGTTTTTACCAGGAAGGCCTGAAATAGATGCATGATTATAGACACAGAACGCTCAGCATCGTAATGGAAGGAAGGGTGAGGAAGGCAGGAAAGAGAGAGCACAAAATGAGCAAACACATGGAAAGGAACAGAGAGCAGGGATGAAGAGAGGCTTCAGACTGGGATGAAATTATTTAGCCTGCACGGTTTCTATTAATAAAAACTCTGTTACACTTAGCTGCCCACATGGGGCTGCAGCAACACAGTATGATTGTTAATAGCAGCAATTACTGGTACACAGCTGGATCAACTCCATTCATTTGTGCCAAATAAAAGACCAAGCATTCCTTGAAGGGATGTATATCACCACCTTCTGTGTGAGTTTTAAACTCAGATCATCTTCTGTTGAGAAAGAATGAAGGTGTAACTATTTTAGTCCAACTCTGTAAATGACGTTATGCACAATCACAAATGATGTTGTGAGATCTTGTGTTATGTGTGAGTGCTCAGAGTATGTGTTGATGAGAATAACTCAGCTGCTACCACACAGGACATTATTTAAAAATTATTGTATATAAATATAAAATAAAATAAAAACAATTTGTAAAAAATCTTAAAAGCCAAATATGATTGCAATATTTTATGGAACTTATTTTATACAAAATATTGAGCTAGACAAACCTATACAGCATTTATGGATTGGAAAGGTGTCAAAAACTACATCTAAATGGTCCATATCTTGGCTCGAACAACTTTTCTCTAAAAGTAATTTTTTTTTTGTAGACTTCTAAACCTAGCTGTAGACACTAAAAAAAAAAAAAATGGCAGTAAATAATAATAAAAATAAAGAAATAAATAAGCGTGGCTTATGCAAGTCAAACTCTGGGCTTCTCACTTCCCACTGAGCTAAACTGCCACAACTTTAAGGTGACACTACTGATATTATATTATGAAATGATATTGCATATGATATTGGAATTACAGGAACAGCTCTAAAATGGTTTAAATCACATTTATCTGATAGATTCCAATTTGTAAATGTAAATAATGAATCTTCATCATACACACAAGTTAGTCATGGAGTTCCTCAGGGTTCAGTGCTTGGACTAATATTCTTTATCTTATATACGGTATGCTTCCATTAGATAAACTTTCCAGCATGGGATAGCATGTGATAAAGTTTCATTGTTATGCTGATGGTACAGTTATACGTGTCCATGAAACCCAATAAATCCAAACATTTACTTAATTTACAAGAATGTCTTAAAGACATGAAAGCATGGATGACCATGAATTTTCTGCTTTTAAACTCAGACAAGACTGAGGTTTTGGTTTTCGGACCTGAGCATCTTAGGAATTAATTTTTCAGTCTTTTGCTCTCCTTGGATTACATTAATCTGGCTCCAGTTCTAATGTTAAAAAATCTTGGTGTCATTTTTGATCAGGACGTCTTTTAACCCCACATTAAAATCGTTAATAGAGCCGCCTTCTTCCACCTGTGTAATATCACTAAAATGAGAAACATCTTATCAAAAATTATGCGGAAAAACTGGTTCATGCATTTATCACATCTAGACTGGACTATTGCAATGGTTTGTTATCTGGGTGTCCAAATACTTTAAAAAGTCTTCAGTTGATCCAAAATGCTGCTGCCAGAGTCTTAACTGGAGTTAGTAGGAGAGATCATATCTCTCCAGTTTAAGCTTCTCTCCACTGGCTCCCTGTTAAATGCAGAATTGAATTCAAAGCCTTACTGTACTTCTAACCTACAAAGCTCTCAACAACCTAGTTCTATCTTATATTACAAATCTTACTGTTCCATATTTTCCTAACAAAGCACTTTGCTCTCAGACTGCAGGCTTACTTGTGGTCCCTAAAGTTTCCAAAAGCAGAATGGGAGGACGATCTTCCAGTTATCAGGCTCCTCTCTTGTGGAAACAACTTCCAGTTTCTGTCCATGAGGCTGACACATTATCCAGTTTTAAGACTCTCCTTTTTAATAAATCCTGTAATTGGGGTTGGCTTGTTATGCTGCTATAGGCTTAGACTATTAGAGGGCAAATTGACATAATTTCTTAAAATGAATTGTTAAAATTGAATAATTTGCATTTGACATTATTTCTATCTTAACATGTGATTCTGGACCTGCCATTGTGTATCTGTTCCTCCTTCCTGTTCCTCTCAAACCCTGCTGGTCGAAGCAGATGGCCGTTTGTCCTGAGCCTGGTTCTGCTGGAGGTTTCTTCCTAATGAGGGAGTTTTCCTTTCCACTGTTGCCTTTGTGCTTGCTCAAGATGAGAGTTCTATGATGAAATTAAACTTAAAGCAGTCCTCAGATAAATAATGTTATTAACTTACTATATATATATATATATATAGTAAGCCACATTAACCATGGCCCTATTGATTACATGCTGAGTGCTCCATTGGGCTAGGACTCAATCATAAACCCTTTCAGGCTGAGCTACAGTTATCCTGCATTGGACTGTGCATGATTTAACAACAATTTAAAACACATGGAATGGGCTCATGAGCTGGATATGGCCTGGGGGCTGCAAACTGACTATCAGCTTTACTTCAAATCAGAAGTGTTGTTCATCAGCTGAGGGAAACATCTGAAAGTAGTACCTCAGGAATAGATAACATACTCACATCATGACTCCGTTTGCAGCTCAACTGATATCAGCCTCTCTGGTCTCTGTGTGCTTGTCCGCTGGCCTCTTGTGGACATCCATGTGACTAAGCCACATCACTGCCGTCTCCCATGCACTCCACTTTCAACTATCTCTACCTCTCACTCCCTGTTACAAGCATTTGCACAAAATGAGCAAAGCAAAGCATGCCCAGTTGCATGCAAACTGGATCATCAGTAGAATAACATTTAAAAGAATGAGAGTATTTATTAGATCATTTTTATTAGAGATGTTTATTAGCCAGAGAAGAAAAGAAAAAAACATGATAAATAAAACATTTTTTGGAATGCAGAGTCTAATAAAAGAGAAGGCTCTCCTGTTTTCCATGCCTTACTGTTAATTTGTGCTCATGTATGCATGCATGTGATCACCTGGCTCAGCTCAGCTCTTTCACAGCATGGTGCCTTGGGTCTATGAGTGGATCTGTATTCCCACCCCCCACGCCCACCCACACAAAATTAATATTGTCCAAGAAATGTTGAGATAATGTGGGTATATTAGTGAATAAAAGCAGAAAATAATTTTATGAGATGAAATAAAATGGCTTATCGCCATATTTTTACTTTTAACAGGTTCCCTTGCGATCAAGAGTCTATAAATCAAAAATGGGAACTACTCGTGCATTATGTAGAAGTATGCTCCAGACATCTTTAGCAAATGGAACAACAAATAGGCCCTTGAAAATAAATAGCTACTTACAGAGTCTGTTGCATAGCTGACCTGTTGTGTGTTGGTTTAATGGCTTATTCTTGTGAACCCTGAAGGAGTGGGGTCCATTACCGGTTGGTAATGGCAATGCATAGCAAAACAAAACTTAGGTGTACTTGTATTTTTGTATGCACAAACCCTGTGTGTGGTGCATGAATATCATCATGTGTTTAACCTCGGATTGTTTATACATGACAGAAGTTACAGCTTGCCAATCCACACAAGACCATTCATATTCAGTCGTACCACAGAGCAGACCTGCCTTATTGTTGCACAGAAGTTAGTTAATTTACAAAACTAGCTGGGTATCCATCTCATCGTGGATTCTACACCTAATCTTCCCAAATGAAATAAATCATAGAAGTGCCAATATCTGCAAACCCACATAAAACTAATTCCTGTCCAAAGTTACTTGCCAGTGTGCAAGCAGACTTTTACAGATGTGGTAGCACATTTACGTCTGATACAACCCATTTTGAAACATATTGTTCTTAATATTCACCCCTAATTAACTCATGATGCTGGATAAGGCATTAGCATTGTCACAGAACAATAAACTGTACATTTATGCAACAACAAACACATGTGCGCATGAAGTGAGTGTTAACTCACTGCTCAAAACCATGAATAAATGACTGAATGAAGAAATAAAGTACCAACTAAATATAGTTGTGCCCACCTCTATGCACAGCTTGAGCTCTCAAACTAAACTTCTGAAGAGAGGCTGGATTCTTTCCTCCTTTGGAGTTGCTCAGAAAAAAAAAAGGTGTTCGCAGGTGGAGGGACACTCACAAGACCCCAGCTGAGTGCCCCAGTGTTGGAGTTTGTCCCTGTGGCTTCGAGATCTAGGAGGGAAGGTTCTGAGTTTTGTTTGTGCTTATGCACCAAACAGCAGTTGGGA